TGATTTTGTTCCACCAACTAGTTTTAACGGAAGCCATAATCGTCGTTGATCTTCGTCGAAGTCCGCTGTTGTGCATGTTTGATTGAAAGTGGTAAGCCAATCGAGTATATTTTGACCAACCTCACTAATGAATGGTAGTAACTTTCGAAACGGTTGTAATTCTGGTGTTGTTGACGGCGTTACTGCCGCTGTTGTCGTTGATAATGATGCCGTCATACGACTTGGTGTTGCAATAATTGAATTTGGTTCCACTGGTCCGAAATCATGATATCATTGTTGAGTAAGATGTTCTGGCTTGAGATGTTCAATATTTTCCAAACGAACTTTCACTTGTTCGATAATGTTCATATATTCATCATAAATTACGACTAAACAGTGCCGACGTTGTATGTCAGTTTGGATGATCGATGCTGGAAGGCGTTCATTACTAGTCATTGTCAAAATTCTAGGGGAATTTCGACAATAAAAGTTATATAACCACGATGATCGTAGTTTTATTTGTACTCTAGCATTATCACTTGTAGAATTGCTAATAGAACAATAATTATTATTGTTGAAGTTCTCTCGAAATGTTGACAATTGCCGAAATTCTAGGGAAAATTTGACAATATTGTCGAAATTCTGAAAGAATCGCAAAAACTGCCGAAATTCTTTTGGAATTTTGCTATTGCCAGAACTCAGATAATTCCGGCTGGCGAAATTTCGATTCACCGCAGTGAACAATTTCCATTCCGCTCGAAAGGCTCTATCAAAATGGTGTACGATAAATCGGAAAAAAAATCTTACCTTAAGTCTGAAGTACGTGCGCCTTATACACATATTATTTTCAGATCAAACTTGTTAAGAAATGTTGCTTATTTGAAGAAAATGTTTTTATCATTTTTGTCGAAACCGCTTCTTGGATGTAATGTTGTGTTTATATAAGAGACAATTTGTGAGCGCGTCGAGGAAATCGACAAAACCTTCTAAAAATAAAAAGGGTTTTAAATACGACTTTCACATTCTCCTTCCAAAGTTACCTGTAAATCTAAGTTTCTAGCCTTTGAAAACTTTTCATCATTGAGAAAAAGTTTTTTAACAAAAACCACCAACGAGTTTTCTACAAAAATTGAAGAATTCTGTATTTCTTGTTGTTTTAATTGTAGCGACAGTATGATACATTTGGTTTTCTTAAACTACACAAAAAAAGCTACCTTTTCCAATAAAACAATTATTATGACAAAAGCTTCAATTGGCCGAGAGCATTTAGCCCATCTTGTAGAGAATTTACTTCGATGCAAAATGCACTATAGTACATTGGAATACAACCGGCGGAACAGCTGAAAAATGCTCAACAATGAGTACCATTAGAATTAGTATATTCATGAAAACTGTTTTAAATGTGATTCTCGTTTGCATAAAGTCATATTTCATAATCAATAGATCAAAGAATGTTAAGAAAGTCGTTTACAAGTAGGTAGGATATTAATAGTCGGGCGTAGAAAATAAGTAGTAAATAGTTGTATTACTGTCTGTCTAAGAAAGAATGGACTCTGCTATTTTTTCAATAACTTTTGTTTTTTGTGTTCATTTGAATGATATGTAATTTAAGAAAGCTAAATGTATGATAATGTCACTACAATTAACGGAACAAGAAATACATTATTCTTCAATTTTTGAAGAAAACTTGTTTGTACCTGCTTAAAAATTGTTTTTCTCAACGATGAAGAGTTTTCAAAAGTTAGAAACTTGAATTTATAGGTAACTTTGAAAGAAGAACCCGAAAATCGTATTTAAATTTTGTTTTGTTCTTTGATGGTTTTATCGTCTTTTTACAGCATTCTCGATTTTCTCACGGCGTCTCTCTTAAGTCTACAACGCTTTCTATTCTGTTTTAAGCCCTGTAAAGCTCATATTATCGTTAAATTAAAGAAAAAACTCGGCACTAAGGCATAGTATAGCACGATTTCTAAAAATAGAAATAATGCCTGTTTTCTTATCCGAACATTGTGGAACTAAAGATAGAGCAAAAACTTTATAAACGCAGAAACCTACTTTTTGAGCCTTGTATTTGAAATAACTGTGAGAAAGCTAACGATTTCGAGCTAAAATGATTACTGTGTATATAGGCTAACACTAGCTGAAAATTCGATTAAGATCTGATATCTCATTTTCAAAACAGATTTTTGTAAGGGGATTTCTATAGACTATTTCCAGATTCAAGATCAATTTTTTATGTACACACAGTCCAATCACTACACGATGCTAACTTCTGTGCTTCTGTTATTGTACAGCGGTCACGAATGAAAATCGGACTAGTGCATGAAAAGGATTCTAGCTTTTAGTTAAAGAATTTACACATCATCTTAAGTATTTTGTGTTCTGGATGACTTGCCCGTCTAACAATGACTTTGCCTTCTGTATCCGGCTTTGTCTGATCGTATGACATTTATCATATTTTAAACATAGTAAAAAACCTATTAAAACATAGAAAAATATTATGCAAGTCATCGTGAAAAATATAAGAAAACGTTGACTTTTTTATTTTTAAAAAGAAGAATAACACGTTATTAGGTGAGGTGCGCGTAATTCAAAATTCATACACGATGTTATTTATATATGGTTCGATAGAGCGCATCGAACTGACTAAGAATCTGTAGTTTTTAATTTTTGAAAAAACGTTTTCGTGTCAAAAAATCGAAAATACTTTTTGAAAGGTTTAAAAATCCGAAAAATCCTTCAATATGAGAACAATTCAAATTTTCGCCTTGCTTCTTCTTCTGGATTTTTAAAGTGTTGTTTCCTGATTTAGTGT